ACATTAAAAAGGTTGGGCGCCAAAAATTATGCAGCAAACTATACATAGTGAATCTCAGTGAGAGGTTGTTACAACAAGGATTGTATAAGTCGCTCACAGAACTGGTTGCTTCGCACAAAGTTGATTGGATAGTTATCTTGCTTTACAGTGAGTTCTACGAAATTTCAATTTCTATTCAAATGTCAACAACTGACTATTGAACCGATATGAGTAAGAAATTAACGTACAGATTTTATGCAACATGTTCTGGGCTTCAGGCATCAGAATAAGCGTAAGCAGAGCTGGAATAAGACTAGAGTTCTATCGTACATTGCAGATGTTGGGGATCTGCTTGAACTCTACAAAATAATCTCATTTATCTCAGTAAAGTGGCGGAAAGCAATATCTGTTTCGCTTATCCCTGTCTTTTTACATTGCTGCTGTAATATATTTGCATATTAATTCCTACACAAAGAAGTATTCAATGTTGGCGATTAAATCGAATCGTGGAGCTTATTATCCATTACTACTCTAATAACGCCATCCAGCACATGGAGAATGCAACTGATGAACTTAGGTGTCGGGTAACCATTCTCTTTGAGAATTTACTATAGTCCAACTACTACGCCCATCTTTTTATGGATATTCACGATTTTTCTAGATTCCTTCTTGAAGAACCCAGCTCTTTATGCCAAGCTCTCATGGTAATTGCATTTGCCATGTTCCACTTCTCCGACTAAAGCGTACAGAATGCGTTCTCCTTTAAACGAGCAGCTTCCTTGTAAATAGCCCTGTAGATTTCCGGCTGACAAGAGCTTGGGATTTCAATGTCCTTAGTGGAATGCTGTTGGGATATCGTTCCTATTTTTTTGAGCGGCAGCATTGATCTAGTAACATGGCATATTTCAATGTCTGCTGGGTTATGCCTCATTTTAATCGTTGAGGCTCCATTGTTATCCTTCCATGGACAAGCTGTACCGCTATCTGATGAATTCGACAGATATTTTCGTTGCTGTAGTGCATATCTTGGAACGGTAAATGGCATTGGCACCGCTGAAATAAGCAAACTTGTCGCTGCAGTGGTGCTTCAACAATTGCCACTTTGCCTGGTTTTTATGGCGCATGAAATTGCAGTAGGCTATTTTTGTACATTTAAATATTCATATTAAATGTGGTTTCTGTAAAAAAATCCAACAGGAAGCTAACGGATAAACATACACAATTAACGATTGAAAAGGAGTGGCTACCATAATAGAACTCAAAGAAGTATTCTCAGTTGGGTTTTTGGATTTTTTAGCACTTTTTTACTTAAAACCAGTAAGGAAAGTAGTAAAGTCGGACGGGGCCGACTATATGATACCCTTCACCACTGTGGGTATATTCAACAGATGAATCCTAACAGACGTCGATTTTTTGAAGGACCATTAACATGAAAATGGATCCATAAACATGTAATTCTGCAACCTATACCAAATTGTTCATGTGGTCAGATACAGAGTTGCTTCAATCTAGGTTATACGTTGTGCCAAATTTGTGTCAATCGGTCTACCTTGGGGTCTTTGGTGAACCATTTATCTCTCGGTCGAAAATATTTATGGGGACTATATCTAAATCTGGACCGATTTTCAGGAAAATTAACATACATCATTCTACTCTTAATTCAGTACTTTGGTACACCATTTACATTAAATCGGACGAAAATATATATATATAGGAGCTATATCTAAATCTGGACCGATTTTCTGGAAACTTAACACACATCATTCTAGACCTAATACAGTACGAGCCAAATTTCGTGCAAAATGAAAGATGTATAGGAACTTTGGTACACCATTTACATTAAATCGGACGAAAATATATATGGGTGCTATATCTAAATCTGAACCGACTTTTCTCAATTTCAATAAGGTTCGTCCTTGGGCCAAATAAGTGACCTATGCCAAATTTCATCCAATTTGGATCCTGTACTTTGTTTACAATTTAACATGGGCAGACAGACGGCCGGACGGACAGGCATAAATCGACTTAAAAAGTGATTCTATGCATATTCTCAAATTGAACCATGTGTGTATCTCGTTTCGTTTTGCCTGTTACATACATATGCACAAAGACATATGCACGTACCACAGTGTGGTGAAGGGTATAAAAAGAACCGAAGTACCTTCCGCAACTATTTCAGTATCATTCATCCAAGATCGATTTTATACCCTCAGTCTTATAGCTAATGAGGGTATATACACTTTGATACGGCAAAAATGTGCCTCATCGAAAAATAGATTTTAGACTCCATGTTTCATTGAATCAAATCTGTTTCAGAAAATTTGGAATCGATTTACAAAATTCCGCCCGTTTGTCTGGCCGGCTGGTGCGCATGATAGCTCACACGATAGGTTACACAAGGGTGTAACCGATTTCATCCAAACATTGCACATCATAATATTTTTACCAAACCTAGTTCATGTTTGAAGATGGGGAATATCCTTCCACTCCTTCTGGTACCTACCCCACAAAATGGTCAATATTGTGCTGAAAATTAATTTCATTATGCGAACGAACTACCCGATTTGAACTAAACTTTGAACAACCTATTACCTTTACCAAGGCTAGATAAAGTTCGAAAATTGGACCCATTGGTCCACTCCTTCTGGTACCTCACCCCCCCCAAAAAAGGTCAACATTTTCAATATTTATAAATCCAATATCAGGATAATGGAATATGCGATTTTATCCGAACTTTGCCCAACCTATTATTTTTATCAAGCCTAGATCAAAGTTCGAAGATGGGAATCCTTCCTTCTGGTACCACGAATGGTCAATATTTATAAATCCAATATTTGGCGAATGGAATGTATGATATTAACCAAACATTGTACAACCTATTGTCTTTACCAAGCCTATATCAAGTCCGAAGATGGGACCCATTGATCCACTCCTTCTAGTACCTCCCCTACAAAGGGTCAACATTTTCAATATTTATATCTCCAATATTAGGAGAATGGAAAGTCTGATTTCAGCCAAACTTTGCACAATTTACCAAGTCTATATCGAGTCCGAAGATGGGACCCATTGGTCCACTCCACTCCCACAAAGGGTCAATATTTTATAAATTTGGAAATTTAATTTGAAGCGAATTGAATATCGATTTGGTCAACATTAAATCCGTAGCCTCTTCAATAAAAACATATACCTTAGAAAAATCGAATAACAAAACCTGCGTGTAATTCCGAAGACTTCCGCAAGCCATTTGCTAAGGGTATATATCTATCGGCAACACCGATTGACACTATTTTACTTGTTTTATTAAGGTTCAATCCATCTACATTTCCTATTTTTAATCTTCTATTGTATGGGTTCCTGGTTCGTTAGGTTCTACAGTTCAGTTTAATTTATAGTGTTGTGCCAGAATATCCTGCATATGAACCTGAGGCAATTATTTTAGCTTTTGCCTGATGAACACAATCCAGGTTTTCAGAATCAATCTTATACAGACTTCGAATATTTTATGCTTGGGGTTTCTCGGATAAATGCCAGCTACTCCTTATAACTTTCGGTCGTTCGAAAGCTGCACTTGTTTCCTTGCAGTGCTTCTTAGATAGCAGAAGCCGTCGAAGTATTTAATTCTTGATTAAACTCCAGTCCTATATTTCCATCCGACCTCTTCAGGTCTTCTAATTTCGGCTGCATGTTGCATATTTTGAGAGGAATCAAACCGTTATCATCCCTAAAAATCCGATTTGTCATGTGAGAATCCATGATCTGCCTCCTTTCTGAGTGCAGACTTCATTCATTATTTTATCCAGTACAACTTTGGGCAGTAGGGGTAATGGAGAGTATCCTTTCCATATGACAGTTGGTTTGATGGTATCGAAAGCCTTTTAAATGCCGATGAACAGTAGATACAGGGTAGTGCTCCCTTCTATAGATGGTTCCATTATGACTTGTAAGATGTTAGATTGGTATTAGCACATAGGTTTTTTTCTTCGCCTAAAAGCATGCACCACACATTAATTTATAATGAATTTTATATGTTAATGAGAACATTCTTCTAATTTGAGGAATTAACAAAAAATTTTTTTTTCCATTTCAGATCCTCCTTATGAACCCGAACACCTGAAGACCCCTGTTGCAGTTAACCCAAAACAAAGCCAATGAACTGTAAAATGAAATTTACTGGGAAATGCATTAACGATACCGAAAACATAAAAGAAGTAGTGCATAATCAACTCTAAGGAATTCCGACAAAAAGAAAGCAACCACAACAAAAACAATAACAACTCTCCATCAAATGCATTCCACAAATTTCTTCTTAACGTAACTTCCACAGGCCTAAGGAAAGAGAAGTAGGAGCAAGAAAAACACTCAACAAAATATCCATGAAGACTGGACATGCAATGACCTAAGGAAAAATAAATAAAAACAAAGCAAAGTAAAATTGGGACACAACGAATGAGACGATACAAAAGAAAAACGGAAAATTGTTGTTGTTGTTCTGACCACTGCGAAGGACTTTGGCTTGTTGAGCCTTCAGCGGCAATGATTAGTATGCATTGAACTTCGATAACCTCAACACAGCTAGTAAGGCAGCTAGACGGTGGTTTTCCTTAGAGGTAGACAAATAACTTTAAGAGGCCTAGAGAGTGAGAGCGATGTTCGGAGAGTAAACATTTACCTTAGCAGGCAAGCAAGAAGTCCTTGGAAATCGATAATGGTAAACATTGCCCATGTGTTTAAACGACAAATGCCGGTGGCTAGCTGCAGAACGAATAGCAACACCAACACAAATATTTCCTTGAGCTGTTGAGTAAAATATTTGGCACTGCTCAAGGAAATTGCGGATCCACATTTTTCTTTTATATCGGACAAAGGATTATGTAGCCAAGGTGGGTTGGATTTTAAATTTCGAAATAAATTTTCCAATAATTTTCTTGATCTTCTCTTCCAGATTATCCCGAAAAATCCATTAGTTATAGCTCCATGCAAACAACTTCCGAACCAACGACTTCCTGACCAAATAGGATAATATGAACCCATCATCTTCATCCCCATCCTTCTCTTCGCCACAGCAACAACAACCATTGTTCCACACCAACAACAATAACTCCAGACCACCTTCACAGCGAAGTTCCTCCGGTTCGCAACGTGAGACACCCTCCATAATACCCTTAGATTATAATTATCAAGTTATGGCACCCTCAGCGTTGAGGCCACAAACCGGACGTTATCCAACGCATTTGCCCTCACGTTCTTCCACTCGGCAAAGTAGCAATCCCGAAGTGGATGTGGATACAGAAATTGAGCCGGCTTTCAATTCTCTGTTTGGTGATCCAATACCTCCCCCACCGCCGGATGATTTTTTGGGTAGCGGTTTTGTTTCACCGGCCTTTTTAAGATCCACTTCTGTGGAGCTAACATCCGATGAGGACCAATTATTAAGCCACGAGCCTCAAACGCAACGTCTCTTTCCCCAGGTACCTTATACCAGCCTAAGGGGTAGACGATTTTCAAACATCTCCACACCCTCACCGCGAAATTTTGAGATACTACCCTCAGCCATACCAAGGCTGAAACCACCTGACATACAAATACTGCCAAATTCCAGTGGAGATTCTTCTTCGGGTCATCAGAATTCACCGAATTATATGCTTCTCACGCCCAGTGAAATGTTGAGGACTTCGTCGGGTTATGAGCCTACGGGAGCGGAAGATATTGTGGAGCTGAAAGAAACATATACCATAAGTGATAATCGCACGATGCGAGAATATTCCGAGGCGAGTAGTATCAGGAAATCATCGACACCTGCTAACAGGGAGAAGGAGGATCAGGAAGCCAAGGGGCAAGTACAAGGTATTTTGAGGTAGGTTTTAACTTCTTAAACCCGGCAAGAAAAATTCTCATTATGATAAAATTTTCTACCCCTACAGCCCCTCACCGGATGCCCTAATGCCGCGACAATTCTCCAATGAATCGTACTCGAGCGGGGAATGGTTTCGTCAGGCCAGCCTTGAATATCCCGAATTTAATAAAATGCCCACCCTAAGGCCTAGTTCGAAAAATGTCATGTCAATTAAGCGGGACGAAATGCCTCTCAGCTCTCCGGTGGCGGCCATGATCAATGATTCCAGTAGCAGCGGGGCAGAGGAAAGACTAATGTCGAGTACCCAAGTTCTAGATGAACCCAGCGTATCTTTGGATGGTTTGAGGCCACCTCTAAGGCCTCCCAGTCCTTCACCCTCCTGTCTGAGATCGTTGGAGGAATCACCTTCATTGATCCTAACACCACGGGAATATATCAAGCAAAGACGGAAAAGTGTGTTCGGTCCACAGATCACAGGCGGAAGTCTAGAGGATGAAGAAGAACCCGTCTCGTTACTGGACGAAGCAGCAGATGAGGAAGGCGATTCTCCTCTGCCTCCTTTACCACCACCACCCATACCACCACAACCTCATCTCTTGGCAGAGGATCCCACTGAGCCTGAAACACCGCTACAGCGTCAGCGATCACCTGTGATATTGAAAGACTCCATAACCACGGGAGGAGATTATAGGTAAGTCCAGACAACCTTATTCCCAACCTAAATAACATCTCCTTCCTTTTCTTGAACAGGGTTGAACAATCCCGCCTCCACAAAAAGACCTCCTTTACGATACTGAATGAGAAGCCCCTACCCATGTCTTCCCAAAGTCCCCGCTATCAAAGGACTCGAGAGCTAAGTTCTCCCTCTCTGATACCAGGGAGATCGAAGGCACCCAACACCCCTCAAAAGTCACCCATGCAGCGTAAGTCGTTATCATCCACCCAGCTTAAACTGCCTCAGCTAATGCCACCCTTGGCCGAAATGACGGTCGAAGACTCACCAAGGCCGTCGGTACAATTCGATATGAGTGGGCGGTACAGCCCCAGTAAACTGCCAACCCAAAAGGGTATTTTACATCAACGAGAATCCGCAACCACCATTTCCCCTATGAAGACACCATTCAAGCGCCGCCCCTCAACCTTGCTGGGTGAATCGATGGAACCCACTTCGAAATCAAAACCCCACATGAAAAGTATGGAAGCATTACCCATGATCACCGATCCCTATCGAACCTCTATACCAAGACTGAATCGTTCTGCCTTAGATTTAAGACCTGAAAAGGCGGTGTTTCCTCCAGGAGCTTTACCGCGTCCTATAAAACCCAACCCAAATCCCACACGCAAACAGAAGGGCCTCCTCAAAGTACTCAATCATGAAGAGATTCTGGCGCGCATTCCCTCCAAATCAAATTGGGCTAGTATGGAAGATCTGACCACAGAAGCTGCGGGGAAACCTTTATTATCTCCCCTGCATGGTGAAAAGACGAGAAGGAGATCCAGTTCAACCTCACCCTCAAGGCGTAGCTCCACACAAACCACCTCAGATCGGCGAAGTTCCAATCTCAGTTCTGTGACAACTTCGGATTTTAGTTTTAGACGACCATCCATCTCCGGTGCTGGGGGAAAACCTCAAGCCTCCTCCACACCCCAAACTCCACGAAGAAGAAAGTCCATATTTCAGCCACCCAGCCCCCAGAGTATGCGGAGGAAATCTTCCTCAAGTTCTAGTGTGGCCAATCTCACAACCACGGGGAGGCCGTTGATACGAAAATTGCCTCAAACCCACACCCCTGTCTCCGATTATTGGCACTCCCAATAAGGATAGCAGTTCCGCGCAAAGTCCCACCCATGCAATGAGAATGGGAATGGTGGGACCACCTTCAGATAGTTTATCGGATAGTAATTCACGTCGGGACTCCTTGTCGAAAATTCCCGTCAGAAGTCAAACAAATTGAGGGCAAGTTCACGTTTGGAATGCAGGAACGTGGGCGGCATCGAGAGCAATACGTAAGTCGTCGCGGCCAACAGTAACATGAA